ACAAACAGAAATACTGTGTTAAACATGTACGTGTAGCAACAGGAACATGTGTTTTAATATGAAACTGACAAACAGAAATACTGTGTTAACCATATACCTGTAGCAGCAGGAACATGTGTTTTAATATGAAACTGACAAACAGAAATACTGTGTTAAACATGTACGTGTAGCAACAGGAACATGTGTTTTAATATGAAATGTTATTTGTCGCAACATAAAATACACTTGGAACAGCAGTTTCAAGTTCCATGTCCTACTTAAAAGTAAGATTCTGTAGTCAGACTTACATGAATATGTTTCAGATGATTGAATAAGCAAATTAACTACAATGTTACTCTAGAATAATAAGCACAATAAAGTTAGTAGAAATAAGTGTTTCGAGTTCATATCAGTAACAGTTAGGCTAAAGGCATTTAAAACAGTGATGACCTGAAACAAAGCAAAATTTATAGAGATGGATTTTCTCCACCCGCCATTACCTTTAAAACTCCAAAATACGTTTAAAAATCGAATTCAATTGTATAGAGAGGCTTCAAAATACGTAAGGATGTAATGTTCTAATCTAATCTAATCTCCTAGAAACGTGCACGAGAGTGACCAGAAAAGAAAATACTTTTGACACATTGTCGAATCAATAACAGGAATCCTCTCAATTTTTATGTACTTTTGTGTTAGTTTTATACCATGACCTCGGACATAAAAAGTGACCTAAGTCTTTTAACCATACGTCATATACTTCCCAGTTTTGTAAAATATTTAAAGGAATAAAAAGCAAAAGAATGAAAACATCAACATATGGTGACACATAGCTTTGACCTTCAAATTGGACCTGAAATCATGAAGTTCAAGCGCCATCTACGTTACGACCCTCTTACGAAAACATGTTCAAAAGTACGAAGATGAGGCTAAGCCTGATCCCAAGATTTTTTGTTTGTTTGTTTTGAATTTCGCGCAAAGATACACGAGGGCTATATGCGCTAGCCGTCCCTAATTTAGCAGTGTAAGACTAGAGGGAAGGCAGCTAGTCATCACCACCCACCACCAACCCTTGGGCTACTCTTTTACCAACGTATAGTGGGATTGACTATAACATTATAATGCCCCATGACTGAAAGGGCGAGCATGTTTGGTGGGACGGGGGATCCCAAGAAGAACGGTAACAAAACAGTAGCGAATAATAGATGTACTTAGACCATTAGAGACTGCTAGAAAATAGCAGCATAACCTTTTAGTTGATGTAGCATTCAAGTAATATAGTAATGGACACAGCGAAGGAAAGAATAGTTAAACAATTATCAATAAAATTATATAATATTATACTTGGACACAGCGAAGTAAAGAATGATTAAACAATTATCAATAAAATTATATAATATTATACTTGGACACAGCGAAGTAAAGAATGATTAAACAATTATTAATAAAATTATATAATATTATATTTGGACACAGCGAAAGAAAGAATGATTAAACAATTATTAATAAAATTATATAATATTATACTTGGAGGGCACAGAGAAGGAAAGAATAGTTAAACAATTATCAATAAAATTATATAATATCATACTTGGAGGGCACAGAGAAGGAAAGAATGGTTAAACATTTATCAATAAAATTGTATAATATTATACTTGGACACAGCGAAGGAAAGAATGGTTAAGCAATTATTAATGAAATTATATAATATTATACTTGGAGGGTATAGCGAAGGAAAGAATGGTTAAACATTTATCAATAAAATTGTATAATATTATACTTGGACACAGCGAAGGAAAGAATGGTTAAACAATTATTAATAAAATTATATAATATTATACTTGGAGGGCACAGAGAAGGAAAGAATGGTTAAACATTTATCAATAAAATTGTATAATATTATACTTGGAGGGCACAGAGAAGGAAAGAATGGTTAAACATTTATCAATAAAATTGTATAATATTATACTTGGACACAGCGAAGGAAAGAATGGTTAAACAATTATTAATAACATCATATAATATTATACTTGGACACAGCGAAGGAAAGAATGGTTAAAGTACTATTAACAAAATTATATATTTTTTGGTTTAGATGTATAGTTATTTACTCACCACCAATAACCTAAATTTCAAGCAACACTAATGAATCTTGAATAAGGCGAAACCAGTCCGTTGCAGCGAAAGTAGCGTAACATAGATTAGGCCTCTAAATAATCTTTTTTTTTCTTTTTTTTTACTGAACTTCGTGTCTTGGTGAAGAAAACAAATTAACAAATAAATTTGTATATTGACCAATAGCCCCCTAGTGGCACAGCGGTATATCTGAGGACTTATAACGCTAGAATCCGGGTTTCGACACCCGTGGTGGGCAGAGCACAGATAGCCCATTGTGTAGCTTTGTATTTAATCACAAACAAACAAACAAATTGACTAATAGGGATTAAGACTTTTCTTTTTCTTTTGGCGCGGCCCGTCATGGCCAGGTGGTTAGGGTGCTCGACTCGCAATCTGCGGGTCGCAGGTTTGAATCCCCGTCACACCAAACATGCTCGCCCTTTCAGCCGTGGGGGCGTTATAATGTCACGGTCAGTTTCACTACATTTCTTAATCTCATGAAACACCTGACTGAAATTGTCATTTATATCTAAAATCGGGGATGTAAGGCTTTGAGAAAAAATCATCTCTTACTCGGACAACCATACTTGGATTATATATAACTATGGTTATTATGTTCACAGTTTGAATAAATTATCCAAAAATTAAAATTAAAATTTTAATAAAACGTAAAATTAAAGATCTTGAGAATGGAGACTTTCTCGGGAATCTAATAAAGCAGCTATTAATGAAAAGTTTTGTCAATAAGTATTATTTTTGGCATGTCGTTATGTATGGAAACGTCACGTACTTGAGACAGATATTATGTAGTACGCTTTACTCGTGGTATAACGTTTTCATTGGTAATACGTGTTTTACACGCTAGTACTGTACTGTAGCCTAGTAATGAAAGAAAGCGTTGAAAAGCAATGCGGGAAACAATGTCCTGTTAACCCTAGAATTACCACAGGGGTCTCGTACTTCAGCGCTTTTTTAAACACACATTTATGAACTATTTATGCATCAAAATGCTTATGGATCAACGACGCTGTTGGTTAAGGGGTCACAACTCTGATAACAAACGAAACACGAGTTAAGGGGTTCTCTTATAAAAAACGAAATACAGTTTAAGGGCTCCTGTGAGAACAGATGAAACACGGGTGAAGGGGTCCCCTGATAACAAACAAATCACAGATTAAGGGGTCCTGTGACAACAGACGAAACATAATTTAAGAGGTCCTCTGATAACAGATGTAACACACAAAAACAAATATGACTAATGGTGAAATTACTACTTATTGCGGGGTCTCCTATGTATTTTCCACAGAAAATGGGTGATATCAACCAATTTTCTCAGTCAGTTCCTTACACCGAGTGTTGTAACAGTTAAAAAAAAAAGAGCATAAAATGAGTAAATGATGTAATATGTAGACTCCAGCTTTAGAGAATGGTATAAAAATAAGCAGGTAATTTGAAGATTAATCAAATTATTTGTGAATTTTTTTTCAAAACGTTTTTCTGATTATTACTTTATAACCTGCACTGATAATGCATTGATTCGATTATAGGTGTATATATTTTTCTAAAATCATTGCACTTGTAGTTATTATTGCTGCAAATTTACCAGTTCTAAAAATCTCTTTTAACTTTAGATCGAGCTAGTTTAAAATTGGTACAGTTTTTGTCTCAGTTCAAGGTACTATTGGAATAAAAAAATAGTATAACTATACTTTTGTTTTTCTTTCAGATGTATCAGAAGAAAATATTTAAATCTAGATTTAGCGTAGCTAAAATTCTGTCACATTTCTTGTTTACCGCTCGATTTCTATGATACAACTCATACAGAAAAGGACATGACAAAGTTTTGAAGCCAATAATTTGAAAACTGACTTACTCTGTCGTAGAAAGTTTAGGTGTGCGTAAAGGATTTCTCCATTGTAAGGATTTGTCAAGCGACTGAAATCTTCTCGAGTAAGCTGGCACAAATCTCGTCCCACCACGTTAAATCGCGAGACGTCAAGATCATGAAGGGTATATTCTTTTACTGCCCATTCGACCCACTGCTTCACGTGCTCTGGACTCCATAACAACGGATCTGAAATTACAAAACACAGATAGTGTTCTGTATCTGGAATTTTTCCAAAGATCAGGTCGATACAGCTATTTTTTCTTAAATGTAGAAGTTACTGAGTCTTCATGATATTTTTATGTCTGTTGAAACCTAAAATGATAGGAACTGTAAACTAAAAATAGATTGTTGCTTTGAAAAATACTATTATAAGGATAATAATTTTACTCTAGCAGAAAACATATATGTTACTGTAGTAACTAACATATGTTACTGTAGTAACTAACAGCTTGCACTAACATATGTTACTGTAGTAACTAACATATGTTACTGTAACAACTAACAGCTTGCACTAACATATGTTACTGTAGTAACTAACAGCTTGCACTAACATATGTTACTGTAACAACTAACAGCTTGCACTAACATATGTTACTGTAACAACTAACAGCTTGCACTAACATATGTTACTGTAGTAACTAACATATGTTACTGTAGTAACTAACAGCTTGCACTAACATATGTTACTGTAGTAACTAACAGCTTGCACTAACATATGCTACTGTAGTAACTAACATATGTTACTGTAGTAACTAACAGCTTGCACTAACATATGTTACTGAAGTAACTAACATATGTTACTGTAGTAACTAACAGCTTGCACTAACATATGTTACTGTAGTAACTAACAGCTTCCACTAACATATGTTACTGTAGTAACTAACAGCTTGCACTAACATATGTTACAGATGGTGACACGTGAAGGAGTGTATCACCCAAAGATTATATCAGCTGACACAGTTTTTAATAACACGCAAGTACACCGATCGCCTGGAGAGAGAGATTACACTGCTCGAAACATGACTTTTCAGTTGTTCATTGTGTGGGATTTCTTATCCAATATTAGAAAAAACGTACTCTATATTACATTATCTCTTTTGAAAAACAAGGAATTCAAGGAAATTGTAAGGACAAAAATACTATTTTAATGCCCTCAAGTGCTTACTTGTGAAGTCAGATACTGGAAGTGTTTAAGGCTATATTAAACTGTTCTTCGTGTGGTCTAAAACAATCAAAAGTTGTATCAATCGTAAGTAAGGAAGCCAATAATCCAAACTTTTCGCAAGATAGGCCTTTCTTCTTCAGGGGTGAATTCACCTTACTAAAGGCCCTGTATTATCTGACTTTTTATCATAGGAATAATCGTGCCTAACACTGTTTCACCGGGTTTTACTGCATTCATACAGTTTGAAAACTAATACTTACTAAGAAACTGCTTAAGACACTGTAGAATGTCTAATTAAATCAAGAAAATACTGTGTTAATACAAAAAAAACTGATTCTGAGAAAACTTAATATCTTCGGATATTTTGAATATTTTATAAAACCATATATACATTTTTAAATGTGCATGTGCAAGACACTGCTGTAAATTAGTGATTTTATTCCACATCAAAAGAACGAATGACGTTATAAAGACATCTAGATGTAGAGTTGGAAATTTGCTTTAGTTTAGATAGACTCAACAGTAACCTGTGCTATAACTTGAAGATTTTTTACGGATAAGCCTCGAGGAAGATCCACATTGCTCTTCAGACAAATTCCAGAGAGAAATTCTACATAAAAACCCTTCTTCAAGTGCTCTATCTGTTATCTGTATCTTCTAACAAAACTGCGATAGGTACATAACTACTTTAATAAGAAGTTAAACATAGCAATTTCAAGTTATAGTTTAAACGAGAATATATTGGAAAACATCTGGAGTAAACTTTTTGTGTAAACAAAACAGATTCAAAGTTAAATGTAAAACTTAGTGCTTAATCTCTTTCACACTTCACTCTGAAGGCTTATAACACTAAAAACCGAGTTTCGATATCGTTTTTGGTCAAAGCACAGATAGCCTATTGCATAGTTTTGGGCTTGACAACGACAGTTTTCACAATCTAAATGAGAAATATTTTAATAGACAAACAATTTATCCTTTCTTCTCTCTCTCTTTCTTCCTTTATGTATATCTATTATGCTGATAATATCTAGAGAAATTCTTTGAAGAGAAAATTGTCTCCTCTAGTCAAGTCACGCACCATTTCCTCTATTTAGTTAGGAGTGTCAGCTAAGTTAGTGCACATGCGTACAAAGGTTTATTTTTCGTTTAAAGGCAAGAGTGTGAGAAAATCACGTGATTTCCGATCCGTATCTAGCCACGCCCAAACGGGCCGATACCAGCTTGTTAAGATTTTCATTAACTTGAAAAACCACCATCTTAGTGTCTCTGTAATTCACTATGTATCGGATATTAAGAGAAAACAGTGAAACAACAACACTGAGTATGTACAGTGTGACGTAACAACACTTATCACGTAGTGTAAGCAGTGTGACATAACAACGCTTATCACGTAGTGTAAACAGCGTGGCATAACAACACTTATCACGTAGTGTAAACAGTATGACATAACAACACTTATCACGTAATTTAAGCAGTGTGACATAACACTTATCGTTGAGTATATACAGCGACACATAACAAAACTTATCACTGAGTACATACAGTGTCAAATAACAACACCTATCACATAGTGTAAACAGTGTGACATGACAACACTTATCACATAATGTAAACAGTGTGACATAACAAAACTTATCACGTAGTGTAAATAGTGTTACATAACAACACTTACCACGTAGTGTAAAGAGTGTGTCATAACAACACTTATCAGTGTAGTGTAAATAGTGTTACATAACAACACTTATCACGTAGTGTAAAGAGTGTGTCATAACAACACTTATCACTTAGTGTAAAGAGTGTGTCATAACAACACTTATCAGTGTAGTGTAAATAGTGTTACATAACAACACTTATCACGTAGTGTAAAGAGTGTGTCATAACAACACTTATCACTTAGTGTAAAGAGTGTGCCATAACAACATTTATCACTCAGTATATACAGCGTGATAAAACAACACTTATCACTGAGTACATCCAGCGTGTAAACAATGTGACATAATAACACTTATCACTCAATATATACAGCGTGACATAACAACAATTATCACGTAGCGTAAACAGTGTGACATAACAACACTTACCACGTAGTGTATACAGCGTGACATAACAACACTGATTATTGAATATATACAGCATAACATATCAATACTTATCTTTTTGTACATAGAGAGAATACTTATCACGTAGTGTATATAAACAGAGTAATACAACAACATTTATCACTCAGTGTATACAGCGTGACATAACAATACTTATCACTCAGTATATACAGCGTGACATAACATTACTTATCACGTAGTGTAAACATCGTGACATCACAACACTTATCATGTAATGTAAACATCATGACATAACTACACCTATCACGTAGTGCAAAGAGCGTGACATAACTTATCACCTAGTGTAAATAGTGCACTTATTGCTGTGTATACACAGCGTGACATAACAACACTTATCACTCAGTGTACACAGCGTGACATCACAACACTTAACTCTCAGTATATACAGCGTGATATAACAACACTTATCATGTAGCGTATATACTAAGACATAACACATTTATCACGTAGTATATACAGCGAGACATAACAACACTTATCACTGAGTACATAAAGCGTGACATAACAATACTTATCTCGTAGTGTAAACATTGTGACCTAACAACACTTATTACTGTGTATATACAGCATGACATAACACTTCTCTCTCAGTATATACAGCATGACATAACACACTTATCACGTAGTATATACAGCGTGACATAACAACACTTATCACGTAGTGTATACAGTATGAAATAACACTTATCACGTAGTGTATAAACTGTAACATAACAACATTTATCACTCAGTGTATAGAGCGTGACATAACATCTTTTATCACTGGACATAAAGTGTAGAGCGAAACACAATACTGATTGAACTACACGTGTAATGGTATTCTTAGTGCAAAACCAGTTTTACTTTATATGATAAGATAAAATATCATTATGGGAATCAATTACACAGAATAAACAATACAAAATAATATAATTGCATCATGGAAATATGAAACTGAGTATATACAGCGTGACATTAACTATATACAGTGTGACTTAAAAGTACTTATCACTATGTATGAACAGCGCCACGTAACAACACTTATAATTAAATACATACAGGGTGACATGACAACACTTATCATTAAATACGGCAGGGTGTTATAACATTTATCATTAAATACATACAGGGTGGTATAACACTTATTACTAAACACATACGTGGTGGAACAACAACACTTATCATTAACTACTTGCAGGTTTACATGACATCTCTTATCGCTAATTTTGGAAAAGGTGGTGTTATTTTACTCTTTCCAATACCGTTTGCATCATATTTTTGTGAGTTAATAAAAGAAGATAAAAACTTCCCAATGTACTCAGAATCAGAACGTTTTATGTACCCACACTTATATATATATATATATATGTATGTGTTTGGAAAAAGTTCAGACATCTATTTGTAATTTGTCTTGTTTTGTATTTTAAGTTCAGAAAATTACACCTTACAGTAAAAATATTCTGATTATCAAATTTTGATGTATTTAATTTCATAATTTAAAAGGAAAAAAAAAGCTAATTGCTTTAAAGTGTGCAACAATTGTAGCCTGAAAAATGTCAATATTGTCAAAAACAACCATGTGCAACGTATTCAAGTGTATATGAAACTAATGTGATAAAATTTGTTACGAACTGGCTTTAATCTTTCTGTATTCGCTAAGTATATACTTTCAGTGACTTCAATCCTTTAGCTATGTGGATTCCGACCGAACGAGAAAAAAACAACAAAAAACGTAATGAACATTTTGTGGGATAGGAATGTGAATATTACACTACTGTTTTCTCAGTTTCTTCCCAATACTTATTATGAAAATTAATTATCCTGTATAAAGTATTATATTTTAAAACGCCATCATACACGATCTAAAATTCATCTGAAATTAAGCAACGACCACAATTTTTTAGCCGGATGTTAGGCCTAAC